ACCCTAAGCACGCCATTAATTAGTGTTCAAGAAATTGTGGATATAAATTGAACAAATATATGCGACGGGTGAAGGATTACACGAGATAAGGTCCTATCTCTAAAACTTGGTTCTAGTGGGAGAGCTTGTCTCTACTTTATCTGCTTCCTTGCATTGGAGTGCTTTTGCCTGTGAACAATAATAATAATAATAATTTACTCTGATATTTCTTTCTTCTTCATTTTTTGTAAATTGATTGTTTTCTTAAATCTACCGTAATATATCTATTTTTATTTCTTCTCGATGTGTCGAGGAATAGAATACAAACTTTGGGCATACTCTAGCTATTCGCATTAATTCAAGGACCAAAATCCAGTATATAATAAAAAAGGTTGAAAACTTCTTTTTCTTCTTTAATATCGTTGAGTACAGTACAATATAATATACTTTGCAGAACAAGCCGTGCAAAGGACAATTAATTAGGCCAAGTGAAATACGAATTACTAAACCTCAATTCGTTTTCAATGCGCAAGATCAAGAGTTTCACCTTCCATTGATGATGATGATGGAAACTAAATGAATGATTGTAACTTCATATTCCATTGACGTATTCCATTGACGCAGTTAATCCCATGCATATGGCAGAGAGAGGGAGAGAAAAGAAAAAAAAAATCTCCGTAAATTATATGACACAATGGGTTCAATCTATATGGATTTGAATTAATCTCACATTGAGTTTCACTTGACTATGGAAATACACTTAATTGATGGGGCATTATATATGTGTGTGTGAAACCTTGGGCCTAAACAATTTTAACATGTCAACATTATTTTGCCATCTTTAGGACATATATTATTTTAGTGAACACATATATGCCCACATAACCAACCCATGAAAGAATTTGACTAGAAAAAACTAGTAATGTTGTCATTTTATTACTATATATCATTTTTTGGAAGTTAGTATGTTCCTTTCTTTAGCAAATATTATGACCAACCACAATGAGCGCTTCACATGAGGTTTTAGTTCAACTCAGGTCATCTCCAATGATACACTAAGGGGCATGTATTCAATTAAAACTTTTAATGACTTTTGAAATTTAAAAAGTTTAGATGTATTCAATATAAATTTTTTGAGACTCTCTAAAGTATTGATGTATTCAATTGAAACTTTTAAGAAGTTTCTAAAAGTAACAGTATATTCAATTGAGATTTTTATTAGACTTTTAAAAATTCTATAAAAGTTATTGTATATTCAATTGAGACTTTTTAAAAGTCTCTATAAATCTTGGGATATTCAAATTTTAATGACCTCTAAAAACATTTATAAAAGTAACTGAAATACTAATTTTTAAACAAAAAATAATTATATAAAATTTCAAAATTTGTCTCTCATTAATCACAAGATTTTGGGAGATTTAAAAAAATAATAAAAAAAAATACTTTTTTTTAATCTTTCTTTCCTTTTTCTATTTTTTTTCTATTAATTATATTCATTTCCATTTATCTTTCTCTTTCTCTTATTGTTTATTTCTATTTTATATGGAAATATTAAATTGGATTCTTGTAACTTTTTTTTTCATTTTTCATTCATTTTGTTTGAAAAATATCTATTTTTTTATTAAATTATAAAATTTTATATAAAAAATTTATAATTGAATTTAAATATATTGATTTTTATTTATTTTTAAAAGTATATTATATTAATAATATTGACTATTAAATTTATTGTTTATCATATATATTTATAATTTTGATTATTATTTATTTAATTAAGTTTTTAAATTTTTATTCTTTACAAAAAAATTATTATATGGGAAGAAGAAGCGGAATTGTGGAAATCAACACCTCATATAGGAGAATTTCACACCAATCTGGCGTCCAAATTTGGTGTATTACACCCCTTCGATGGCACACCAAATTTGGGGTAATTCATTTTTCCCATTTTGATCTCCATTTTCTATTACAACAAATTTTTGTTCCTTCTATATCTTTTTGTTATCCTTTTGGAATTAATTGATTTGAATTTGTTTATAATTATTTTAACTTTATGGTATTTTTATTTAACATTTATTTTTAAATTATAATCAAGTAAGAAGTAATAAGTATTGGTACAATAAATTAAAATTGTTCACTAAAAACTTAAAAATTACAAATTATCTATTAAAAGAATAATGCTATGTACCCCAATTGGGGTTGTAACCCCAATTTAGATAGCGCTAGATGATAAATAGAATGAAAGGTAAAATTAAATAATTCATTTAATTCAACCTCTCATTTAATGTAATATTAGTATCACTTAGACTGTGATTACAACCCCAGTGGAACAAAATAGCATTACTCGTATTAAAAACTGTAAATTATTTTTTTCATTAATTCCTCTTTTTATTTAATGCACAAACTGAAGATTGGGTGTAAGTGCCAATTCCAGAAGTTGAGATACTTGATTTCAAGAATTTATTAATTCCGATAAATAAGTAACAAAATGAGTTGCCATTTTCATTATATGTAACTTTTTTTGTGTGTTTAATGTTTCTGTTCATTAATTATAATTATTAATTAAAAAATTTGGTTTTAAAAGTTCTATCATATTTGGTGTAACAATTGGAGATGCTCTCGTGCTCGCCAACTCGACTAGTTTGTGGGGGCATGCCAACCTTAGAAAATTTTATGGAAATTTTAGAATGTCATGATACCCTTATGTAAAGTTCATTAATCCCTGTTTGGTATCAATGCTTCAAAATTATTATTTTTTCAAATTCATTTTCAATCACGCAATTCTCAAATAAAATAATTTTGTTCATGGACTTATAATTTATTCATAACTTTTCTTACTCTAAAAAAAAAAAGAAAAAAGAAAAAAGAAAGAACATAACATGTCATAAAATCTATTCTAAAAAATCTATATCAAACATTTTCGTAGTATATGCAAACCTAACAAATTTGACATCCCATTGTGGAGTGGTGCACCTACAAATTTCTAGTAATCATGGGCTATCTCACCTAGTTTGGTGGAGAGACAATGTCATGAATCCGAAAGAAAGAGCTTCTACAATCTTTTCTAACTTCAACGTAAATTAATGGTACAGTTCAGTCTCGAGAAAAATATATCCTACAATTCTAGCCCTTGTTTGGTTCACCTAAAAAGTTAGATTAAAATATAAGTCAAAATTAACAATTAATTTCAACCACTCATTTTTTAACCACACATTTCATCACCTTTTATAAGAATTCACTAAAAATTTGATTTTATCTAAACCAAACAGGGACTTTTCAAGACCCTTTTTATTATTATTATTATTATTTTTTAATGAAGGGAAAACTCGTAGCCATTACCCTTCAAGTGTGCACTGGGTAAACTCTCGAACTGACACAATAACCTGCAAATCACGTCAGCCAGGTAAATCGAACTAGACAAACCCTGTGTAACATGCTCAACCAAGAAAGTATTGGTAGGGGAATCGAATTCACGACCAAAGGCCTCCACGCTCACCTACTTCACCAACTCGACCACCCCATGAGGGGCAACTTCTCTGTTATTGTAATTATCTTCGGATAAGTCATTAATCTGTTGAATTTTCATCTAAATTTTTCCCTTGACCAAAATCAATCTAACTTGTCGTAACTGAATTAACCACCTCTAGTTTTGCTATTAAACCCACGAAATGGATAATAAATTAAAATATGCCAGAAGAGTCCTATAACTCTAAGCTCATTTTAATACGCAGAGAGTAATGTATCCTTCATTCGTACTATTATCCTAAATTTCCCAAACATCATCATGTGACTCCCAAGTCACACCTTAGTATTCTCATATGGCCCAGTCACTCCTGGACTGACCAAGCCCAATAAGTTCTGCAGCTTTGAGATAGATGAACTAGGCTTCCTGACCCATTAACTTAGAAATGTCAACCTTTTCCAGAAATTAAAGTAGGCATTTTAACTTTAGGATAATTATCCATCCCGTCACTGTAAAAATGAGGCATTCACGTTAAGATCTTCAAATTTTACCTAAGCCCTTGTTTGAGCCCCATTCTTTTGAAAAAAACTCATTTTCAACAGTATTTTGATATCATTTCAATCACACATTCTTTAATAAAATAATATTACACGCAAATTCAAAACTTTTCCTCATTTTTTAACCACACATTTCCCATCAATACACTATTCAAAAATTCATTCTTTCTCAAAAAATGGGGATCAATCAAGGGCTAAAAGAAATAATCTCAAAGAACAGTGAAGATTCAATAGAGTCTAATCTGCATTTATACAGGCATGTCTATTTTCTCGAGCCTCTTCCAGCGTACTTCTTTCAAAAAAAGTAGAGCTCCCACAAAAAAAGAATATATATATATATATATATCTTATGAGACCTAAAGGTAGTACATATCCTAGATCTATGTTGGATTCTTAGGCCAGAAGGACCAGGGCATACTGAATTGAATGTGACAAAGGAATTCAAAACATTGCCCCAGTCATAAATGTTGTGACTTCAACTTTTCTCATTATCACTTATTGACACCAAATTTTTCATTCGATTATTAAATTTCATAAGGCGTACCACACCATGTTACAAACACATGCATTAATATCTGAAAGTAATATCAAGTATAGTATCTTGAAACACTTGTGCACTCAAACCAATTGCGTTTACAGTACAACACCAACCATTTCGAGAAACAGCAAAGAAACTGCAATTTACTATCTATGCACATGTTCTTAGTTGATAAATTATTTAAATTATCAACAAAGTATCGAGCATTTGTGACTAAATTATCGACAACTATGGATAAAAATGGAAAAGTTTAAGTTAATAAACAAAGATTTCGAAAGTGTACCACCGTTTGAACTGAAGGTATAACCATTCGGGTTCTACATCGGAGCAAAACTCCTGCCTAAAACGTTGACATTAGCGAAAAACCCTACGAGGTCTCTTCTGTATGGTAAATACGATTTTTTCTTATTTTCCTCTTTGATCGCTCTATTCCTTATATAGTGCGCTTCGTGAGCTGATGATGACCCCGGCGGGCCACCTAGGACGGCGCCTTTTGCTTTTGATTTTTTTGAAGTCTCAATCTTCTCCGGTTTCTCTTCCCGGTGTTTCGGTGTCAAAAAGACAAAAGAGTCCTTGCCATCGCTATTGCTTCGTCGCATCAAATCGCGAAGCTTCCACCTCCTCGAGCGAGATCCGGTGGACTTGCTTTTCCGACACCTGCTCGGCGAGGGTTCCGTCGCCTTTGGCCTCCACACACAGTACGTTCCCGCTGGCACGCTCTCCAATTCATCAGCTTCCGATGAAGACGACGATGGAATCTCACGCTCCTCCTCACCACGATCTTCGATAAATAATTTACTTAATGGAACTTTAATACTCTCCACCTGATCAGACGGTTCCAATATCTTTTCGTCGTTATTCACCAAGAGATCGCGATTAAATATAGGGAAAATGGACTTGATTTCGCTGTTTCCGGTCAAAACTTCCTTACTTTCGCTTACCAAAGAAAACTCAAAATCCTCATCGTCTTCATTGGAGTTCTCCTTGGAGACTTGTACTGCAATTTCTGCCAATCCATCAGCTGAATAGCAGTTGAAGCTAGGGCAGATGCCAATATCCTCCTGGCCACTATTCATTTTCTTCGTCTCAATAAGTCACTTCTATGTGTCTATGTGTACGCTTAGAGAGAGAGAGAGAGAGACTTTGAGGAGAGATGAAAATGGGGCCGAATGCTGGGGTTTTTATACGAGGGTTTGCGGAGGGAAAATGTCTGTGAAGAAATGTATTGATGGCGAATTTGACGGTGTTTGTTGAACGAGCCATACTTGGTTAATACGGCTCACGCGGTCACCTCACACGTGGGCTTCCAGAAGTAAATGTGAGGACACGCGTTACTTCACACGTGGGCTTCCAATTACTTGATTTGTCGATATAATAATGGAATATGGTTCTTGCCAACCATTAATAATTACGTGATTAATGGTAGGAAAATATCTCAGTTGGATTAATTAATTGGCCTAAGTGTACAGTCGAATAGAAGGGTAATGGTTTACATAACCGTGTGAACACATTGAGGTGTACATGTAGTATCTTTTCGAATAGAATTAGTAACTAAAAATTGAATAATGCAAAATGTACAATTTGATGTTACATTCAGGACGGCATTCTTCCTATGTCAGGGAAGGGGGAATCATTGCACGAGTGGGAAAATTTTGGGGAAGGTTTATGCCAGATAATTGTTGACAGATGGAGTGATATAATAGGTTTTGGCAAAGTGTCATTGAATGAAAAAGATGACTGTGTTCAAAATAGTCGAATAATGAAATGTCACATGATATTATGTAAGTGATTATGTCAATATAATCTTGGGGAAGGTTTATGCCAGATAATTGTTGACAGATGGAGTGATATAATAGGTTTTGGCAAAGTGTCATTGAATGAAAAAGATGACTGTGTTCAAAATAGTCGAATAATGAAATGTCACATGATATTATGTAAGTGATTATGTCAATATAACACAACTGCAAGGAAAAATTAAAGGTGTAGATGATATCACTTGAAAAAAATGTATCCCATAAAGTACATGTACACGTGATAACTTTGTTGAAAATTACGAAATTAAATTCTTAAACTACTTTCACACCCATATAACCGTGGAATGGAAAATATTAAAAAAAAATTCAATAGTTAACATGTTTAGTCGCATTTGGAACACGGAAATAAATTTATCAATACAATATTGCAAAATTCGGCACTGAAGTATCTCAGCTATAATTTGTAGTATAAATTTTAATCGACGTTTGATAGAGATTAAAATTTTAATTTTAATTTAAGTCAAAATTAACAATTAATTATAATAATATCTTTCATGAAATTCATAACTTTTTAATTACACACATCATCAATTTTGATCAAAATTGATTTTAATCCCATCAAACAATTATGAATAAAGCCAGTTGGACGGGGATTAGAAACACATTGCAAGAAACATGGTGATTTGGCAAATTGTGATTGAGTATTTTTGTTTCTTTTTTTCCAACTTCTAATAATAAATTGTCAAAATTTTTCTAGGCCTCTATTTGATTCTCATTTTTTTCTCATTAAAATGAAAAATATGATCGTTATTTATCACATCAAGTCATCAAATTTGAATTTCTATTTCTTATGTCGAATCCATAATGATTATATTTTTCATTATTCTTTCGAAAATAAGAAACAAACGGGGGCCTCAAAATGAGAATCTATCATTGAACCTAGAGAGCATCTATCCAAATTTCATTGAAATTCGCCAGTACAGTTGACCATCTGGAAGGCTATGAATGAAAGCCGGCATTTTAGATGCTTAGAGTAGCAAGAAACACGGCAACCCGAGAATCTACCTCACATGATGTACAAAAGCCTCATCAAAAGCTCAAGTTAAGTTTGACTTCTAGAGAAGGTAGACCAAATCAATTTAAAATTCTTATTATTGCATAAAATTATAGAGATTCTCCACCTTTTTTTTAATATATTGTGACATAAGTGAAGACGTCAATTTCAAGAAGTTATACCGCCCAACTACTTATAAATTGGGTAGGGATCAAGTCGATAAATAACGGGATCGATCCAGCGAGGGAAAAAAAATGATATAAATGCAAAATTTATAACTTTATTGATTATTTTAAATATTTTATACACAATATTTCAAGATCATTCAAATACTTGAAGGTAAAAATAAGCTCATATTTGATAGAAATTAAAATCAAAATTTTAATCTAAATTAAAGTCAGTAGTTAATTATAATCACATATTTTCCACAATTTTACAACCACATATTTCATCTATTTTTATCAAAATCTTCTAAAAAATTAATTTCAATCTCCAGGAAATTGGAACTATATGAATACACTCAATTTTGACTTCAAATGGTCCCCAAGGGAGACAAGAAAAGCCAGGACCAATTTTGCAAGACTTAATGAACTGATTAATTTCTTGTTATAATGTTTGTTAGTGTTGAAATTATTTGTCTAATCATATTGATTAATTATATCTCATGTTTTATAATACAATTTTTATGACTGGTTTCAGTGCACATCCAATGTATATGCAATGAAAAAATAAAATAAAATAAAATAATAATAATAATAATAATAATAATAATAATAATAATAATAATAATAATAATAATAATAATAATAATAATCTTCTTGTAGTAAAATGATCAAAAAATTGAGAAATATAAAATTAGCACTAGGGTTGATTTGGAACTTGATAAAATAATTGATATCTAAGATGCCTAATAGATTAACAAAACAAAATAATCGTAGATTTTATCGTGTACATACTTCCCTCATTGTATTTTGATTAAATATAATTCAATGTACACAAGTGGGAAGATGTAATGGCAAAATCAAAGAGTTGGTGTGGAAGGAAGAAGTTTAAGTTTCTTTTTCCGTCAATTTTTTATGCATTAGGAGGAGGGTCATATACAAAGAGAACATTAAGTAATGGAATTTTAAAGGGAGAAAATTCCTTGAGTCAACATATAGCTTTGATCCCATCAAAGGAGCTACAAAAAAAATCTTCAACTCTTTCTGTTTTCTTTTCATATTTAATACAAGTGGAATCTGTAATTCACAATAATCACTTGTTAGTAATTTAGTGATTGTTTATTAGTACTTTTTTGATGTCGCAGAAAATTAAAGGGAAGATGAACAATCACAAAATGAGAAAACTCTCAAGGAAAATTTTATTGAATTTAAGAACTGTCGTCTCAAAGGGCTGTAAGCCTTGAATAGAAAAAACCTAGCAAAATTCAGAAAATAGAATAAAAATATATTTTTCTAAAAATAAAAAAGTATGAGATAACTACTAAGATGGAAAATCCTTATTTTCAGGATCATCCTCTAACAAACGGAATATAAGTCCGAATTTTATGGAAAAATATATTCCAAAAATAAAAATTACTATAAATAGCAAAAACGCCTGAACGAAGGCCTAAACGATAGATTTTGCTCAAAATTGGCCTTGCGTCAGGGCCAAAGACACTGAGTTTTATTCATTGGCTCGATTCTAATCGAATTAGACTAGCAATTCGCCAAAAACGAATCAACCCAAAGTTATCATGAAAAAAAAAAAAAAAACATTATTTTGCCTTGCGACGATCCCATTTCACCATAAACTCAAATCCCTTATACATTTCATCATTCTCCCCAAGGTGGGAAAAATTCTCCCTCAAATTTGACAGGAAAGGAGCTTCATCATCATCAGAATTATCACCACGAAACGGCACCAAATGCTTGATATTGAATACGTCAGATGTAAGAATATGGCTGGGCAGCTTCAAACGGTAAGCATTCGGATTGATCTTCTCAATGACCTCCAAAGGACCAATCTTCTTCGCAGTAAGCTTGTTGTATTTATGAGCAGGAACACGATCCTTTGTTAACATCGCCTAAACAAAGTCACCTACATCAAATTTAACATATCAGCATTTAAGATCTGCAGCACGCTTATACTCAGTGACAACAGCTTGCAACTGATCATAAGCCTATGAGTGAACCTGCTGCAATTGCTGAATAAAGCCTTTGGCCTTACCATGCATTTTAACAGAAGTAGAAACTGGAACCAGATCAAGAGGACCATGAGGAACAAGGCCATACACCACCTGGAACGGACTAAAACCTGTACTTCCATTAACAGCATGATTGTGAGCAAATTATGCTTGACACAACTTCTGATCCCATGACTTAATCTAATCACCAACCAGGCAACGTAATAAATCACCCAAGGAACGGTTAACAACCTCTGTTTGACCATCTGTCTGAGGATGATATGCACTGCTGAAGTCCAACTGTGTATTTACCGAGCGCCATAGAAGTGGCTGAGGAAACGAGTATCCCGATCAGACACAATAGATGTAGGTAGTCCATGCAGGCGATAAACCTCACGAAAATACAGTAAGGCCACATTGACAACATCTGTAGTCTTCTTGCAGGGGATGAAATGTACCATCTTTGAAAATCGATCAACCACTACGAAGATCGAATCAAACCCACGTTGAGTCCTGGGGAGTACTACAACGAAATCCATACTCACGTTTGTCTAAGGTTGAGTTGGAATAGGCAGGGGCATATACAAGCCCGCATTTGTCGCCTTGCCCTTGGCCAAGTGGCAAACCCGACAACGCTCCACAAACTTGCTGACATCTTTGCGCAATGATGGCCAAAAGTAAGAAGTAGCAACAAGCTGCAATGTTCGGTCACGACCCACATGACCCTCATTATGCAACTCTTGAATGATCTTCAACCTCAAACTGTCCTCTGGAATACACAATTGATTGCCATGAAAAAGAAAACCATCAACCCATGCAAACTCCGACTGCACACCCTCCTGCAACTTCTGAATAACATGGGAAAAGTATGGGTCAGTAGAATATAAGTCACACAAACTGTCAAAACCTGGAACCTCCACTCGCATTTCTGTAAGGAGAGTTTGGCGCCTACTCAATGCATCTACAATTTTGTTAAGCGCACCTACCTTGTGCTTGATCACAAAGGTAAACTACTGTAAGTAAGCAATCCAAGAGGCATGTCGAGCAGATACCTTATCCTGAGTACCAAGGTGTTTAAGGGCGTCATGATCTATATACAAAATGAATTCCTTATGGAACAAATAGTGACGCCAATGTCGAATGGCCTGGACTATTGCATAGAAATCCACATCATAAGTACTATATTGAAACTTCGGGCCAGAAAGCTTTTCACTGAAATATGCAACAGGGTGGTTGTTCTGACTCAACACACCACCAATACCCACTTTTGAGGCATCAGAATGTAGCTCAAATGGTTGGGTAAAGTCAGGCAACACCAAAACTGTAGCAGTAGTCAACTTCTGTTTAATTAATTGGAAAGACGACTCTGCCTCGTGAGTCCACTAGAACCTACCATCCTTCATGCATTCTGTAATTGGTGTCATGATGCTACTGAGATGTGGTATAAACCTGCGATAGAAGGAAGCAAGGCCATGAAAACTCCGCACCTCAGTGACAGTGTTAGGCTGTGGCCACTGACTTATTGCCTCTACTTTAGATGTATCAACTGCTAACCCCACTTTCGACACCACATAACGCAGGAATACCACACTATCAGTAAGAAATGAACACTTCTTCACTGCAGCATAGAATTTATCCCTGCGAAGAACTGAAAGAACTTCCCGAAGGTGCTCGACATGATCATCATCGTTAGCACTATAAATTAAAATATCATCAAAGTACACCACATGTAGTAGGCGAGAAAAATAAAATGGAATTATACTAATATTTTGTGAGGATCTAGCACCACAGCCTAACCCATTTTAGAAACGACCTATGGAAGCTCAACCCATGTAAGATTACGAAAGCCTAAGTCATAAGTTAATTAAAAGCCCAGGGATTTAAGAGATTAAATTTAAGTAAAATTGATTACAAAAATTTAATGAATAACTGGATTGCCCCAATGGTCATCTACATGGTATTTCACATAGGCAACCCAGGTTCGAATCACCATGTAGATGTTTTTTTATAAAACTTTCATATGAATTATTTTTATGGCTTAGAGACTCTTCAAATTCTTAGTTAAAGACTAAGTTTAATAAATTTAATGATAATACAACTCCCCCACTTAATTTTTCATTAAAAAGAAACGTTATAGAAGTGGAAGGTCACTTTTTCACTACACTCCTCTTCAAATCCGAATTTCGTCTCATTTTCTCTCAAAAAAATATATTTCATATCAAGTTAAGCTTAAGGAATAACAAGGGTGAGAAGAAGGAAGACTTTCTATACATTTTGTTCTTTTATCCAAGAAAATTCAAGGTAGGTAGAGGTGCAAGTGTTCATTCGTTTTTAAATCTGATTTTTCGATAAATGTTTAAATGAAATGGTACCTTTGGGTACGGTGCTTCGACACTACAACAGTTTGAATGATCATTCTCTAGCTCTACGTGCTATGATAATACTATAGTTATTGGATTTTGCCGAAAATCCATCTACGTGCGACGGTATGAATCTATAGTTCGAAATTTCTAATTTGATAACGAATTGCACCGATGATATCTATTGAGTTTCAAACTCATGGGTTAATTCCGTTCCTACAGGTTGAATGAATTTTCCTTGGGGCATAGATGATGGTAAAGGATGATGTAACATGTCATGGAGAAACCGGTGATTTACATTTTTAGTTGATTTTGAGATGTTTACACTTTCTTTAAATTTGATTCCTATGAATATTGTGTGGATCTATTTTACGAACTCTCTTTATGAATAAACTATGTTTGAAAGTAGATATGCGTCATAGGAATAAATTTACAAATCACCATATACAAAAAAAGTTAGCGACTTAAAGTTTTGATGTCTTTTCAAAAATTTTAGTTTCTGTCTCATCATTAAAAAAATCATAACTCTTTCGTTACTTGGTATTTTTATATGAAACTAATTAGATTGGATAGCCTAATAAGTTAGATACTGAATAAAATTGGAATCATGTCAATCCAATATCGGTAAAAAGTTATATGTCACATAAAGTAAACTGTGCTGGGTGCTGTCTCTGTTTTGTAGCTTCTATCCTTGTTTTCAAAAATTCATAACTCACTCGTTACTCGGAATTTTTGGATGAAACCAATTTGATTTGATAGTCTCGTGGATTAGCTACTGAATAAATTTGATATCATGTGATTTTGACGTTGGTGAAATTTTATATGCCATTTTATGTGAACTGCAACGGTTACCTTTCAACCGGGTCGCCGCTCAGTTTTGAAAAATATTTTAATACCCCATATGATGTTGACGGAAGCTAATTTTTGACTATGTCATATTATAAGGATTTTACTACCTTACATTAAAATTTGATGAAGTTTCAAGATCGATAGCTATGAAAACAAATTTATTTTGACAATTACTATTTAAGACAAAAAAAAAACTGGAATAGCAACATTACTTTTTAAGTTTTGCCAAAATTTCACGTCAATAGTCATTACATGCATGGAACCCATTCTATAAAAAAAAATTTGAAATTGTTTTCTTTTAGAATTGGATTATTGTTTAAATAAAAAAAAAAGAAAATTCTTTAATTAAATTCTAAAATTTAATCATTATACCTTCTACTAAAAATATATTGAACTAACTTTACGGCTAAGGTACAATGGTTGAGTGACGTTTCCGTCCATGTGGGTTGGGGCGTTACACCACAACAAATTTACCGATGAATGGGCGAAGAGCCTGATTCATAACCCGTATGAACGTACTGGGTGCATTTGAGAGGCCGAAAGGCATAACTAACCACTCGTACAATCATTCCCTCGTCTTAAATGCAGTCTTCCAATCATCCCCATGTCTGATCTAAATCTGATGGTACCCACTCTTTAAATCAAGCTTGCTAAACACACAAGCATCGGTAGGCTGGTCCAACAAATCATTCACGCGGGGAATTGGAAAGCAGTAACGCACTGTAATCTTATTGATCGCCCTACTATCCACGCACATGCGCCACGTGCCATCCTTCTTCGACGTGAGAAGAGCATGAATATCACAAGGACTAAGACTCTCCCTGATGTGTCCTTTTGCCAGAAGCTCCTCAACTTACCTACGCCACTCTTCATGCTCCTTGGAGTTCATTCTGTAATGCGCTCGGTTAGGCAGGGCAGCACCAGGCACCAAGTCAATCTGATGCTGAATATCCCACAGTGGTGGTAATCTATCTGGAAGCTCTTCTGGGAAAACTTCATGAAACTCCTTTAGCGATGGCTGAACTACGAGAGGGACTTCATGCTCACTGTCAATCAACTTTCCCACCAGCACATACACTACCCCAGACTCCTCCATCTTTGTCTCAAACTTCCTTTTGGTCAGTAAATTGGCGTTGTTCCCAACTGTTTGTACTGAACCCTTATCCGGTAGTAACACAATTTTCTTTTCCCAAACAGAAAGATGTACGTGTTGGTATATCCATCATGTAGTGAGTGTCTGTCAAACTGCCACGGCCTCCCTAACAGTAAATGACACGCATCCATCTCTACTACATCACATAAAACCTTATCCTTGTAGGTAGGTCCAATTAAGAAGCTGATTCGAGCACGTTGAGACACTTCTACGTCGTTGCCTCTCTTCAGCCAGCCAGGCTAATTTGTACGATTTGGGATGTTTCTGCAAACCCAACTTCTTAACGACCCCCTCAACCACCACATTCTCGCAACTACTAGAATCAATAACAAATTTACATACCTTCCCTCCAACAATACATGTCGATTGAAAGATATTGTTATGCAACCAATCAGTGTTATTCTCCAAGGGAGTCAGGAAGCTCTTCCTCACCACCAGTGCCTGACCCACATCACCAACCACAAACTCTTCATCTTCCGTTGCTTCTTCTATGCCTTCATCGTTAAAGACAGGCGGACCTTCATAATCGTCATTCCCCTCAACAACAAAGAGTTCCCTGAGAGAATTTTTGGGGCACTCAGACTGCTTATGGCCCGTAACTCCACATCTAAAACAACGAATACTAACCCCAGGACGTGTTGGTTGTTGGACAGGATTTGTTCTAGGAGGACCAGATTGAGTAGGATTACCCGGACGTGTCACTTGCTGTTGTGGGTTACTGGAAGAACTCCCTGCAATGAAATGACTAGTAGTTCTCCTGGATTGTTGCTTCTCTATCTGTATTGCCCTCGATGTGCTTCAGAAACTGTCACAGGATCAAACATATTGAGAGTATCCTGTATTTAGGGACGAAGATCACCCACGTACCTTGACACCAACTGCTCATCCATCTCCGTCATCTGGTTCCTCGTAACCAACATATAAAAATCCGTGGTATAATCACTAACCATTTTCCCACCTTGACGCAGATTCTGCAGTTGTTGGTACATGGTTCGCACATAATTGTAAGACAAAAACTGTTTCTTCATATGATTCTTCAATTTGTCCCACGATGCAAACTTGGGTTTCCCTAGCCTGGATCTCGTCACTTTAGTTTGCT